TATAGATTTTAACCACTTTTTTAAAATAACTTTAAAGTAGATTTTAACGTTAAAACAGTAGAAACGTAGCATGTATGAATGTAGAAGTAGCTGATAATATAAACATTACAATCCGGTCGACTTGCTTATATTTTATAAATGTTTTAACTCGGGAAATAATTTTGTTCAAAACAGGGTATCTATTAGTTATTGATTTTAGCTGAGTAATTTTGTATTCATTATGTAATGATTCGTCTCTAATATTCAAATAGCCTCAAAAAAATGGAATGAATAAAATGTAGTTTAACCTCCGATTGATAATTTTACTATTTTATTTTTCCCAAAAGCTTAAACATTTTTGCGAGATGATTAAGCCTACTCAGACTTTTCCTTAATATCCGTTTGAGATGTGATTTGAGAAAAATATTCGCGTTACATTTAGTGGAAAAATGTAGACATTATTGTGAATAATTGTAGCGATAAAACGTATAAAATAAACAATATTATTTATTTATTAATTTGTTAGAGATACTGGCCTACTGCTAGCTTTTAGTAAGTGAATTCTATGTATATGTCCAATGCTCTTGGCTATTGGAATGTAACATTAACGTTTTGGGCTATATTTCCGGTCCACGAAAAAAAGACCCACGCAGAATTCAAAACGCATTACTCCTGGTTGCGCAGGCTTATGTGCAGTAAGTTAAGTGTAGTAAGTACTCAAAAGTAAGTAAGTAACGCGGTTTAGTTTTTGCACAGGTATTATCACGTGCGCCGCAGTCGCAATCCGCACGTTACATTGTACTAGTTCATTCTTTATGTATATAAATTCATATACATTATAATATATATATATATATATATGTGTGTGTGTGTCGTTATTACGGAAACCTTATAGATGTATAAATGAAATGAAAAACAGGCCAACGGAACTTGGAGGCGTCCAAAACACTTCCGCCAGGTCCACAGTATCTCTTATCCACATTGATAATAAAATTCATTGAACTAAAATTATTTTTGGTGTTATTTTTTGCTCGCTACAATATTAAACATATATTTTTTATCATACAAACGTGGTATTTTTTTATTACTTTAAAATGGGAATCACAGTTTCTCCTGTACTAAAAAAAATCATTAATAATTATGAATTGCATTGGTACCGGGACTATTTCATATGTTTTTTTTTTAAATTGCGATTGTGAATTTTTGTCAGTCAATGTTAATTAGTCATATTTTTATTTTTATCAAATTAATTACTCATGAATTGGGGTCTCTTAGATGAATAAACATGTCTACCAAATATATTCAATTTTTTTTTTATTATGTTTGCAATAATTGTACGGAGTAAAAAGCAATCATCACTAATTTTTTTAAATTTAATTTATTTATTATATTGGGACTCGGGATATTTTCAAAACAGCTGAAACGATTTCCTCATGAAGTAATTCTAAATATCAGCAATGGTATCTATAAGGTACCTTACTGGCCCAAAAATTTTAAAAATTCACCCGTCTAAAATCGAAAAAAACACCCAAACAAGTTTACATGTTTTTTAACTTAACACGCTATAAATGTTTTAAAATTTGTCGAATGAGTTCCAAACATAAATATATGGAATATTCTTTAGACATAGTTTTATCAAGAAACGTTGACAAACCAAATAAATATCAAAAATGATTTCCCTTAAAAAGGGTAGAAACTTTTTCTTTTTTAGGGAAGAAATTCTGAAAATTAGACTTAAGGTCTAATGTACATGCCATTACAATTTTCACAAAAATCTGTAATTACACTTTTTTTTTGTTATGGAAAAACGAAAGAGAAAAATATACTTTGACCGTAGGAAATGTCTAGGTTTCTATGTGATGGTGATTAAACAGTCAACAGGAAATAAAAATATTTTCATTAAATTGGTAATTACGATATATGCCATATGGGTGGGTAACTATGACAATACTTTTCTGAAAAATAGTTTCATTATGCAATTGTTGCTAATTTCGATATATGGGAAACCATGCAAAAAATTATTATAGACAAACGATCAACCCTAATCGTATACTATAAATAAAATATTAAGCACATTGTTGCCTTAACAACAATGTGAAATTTTATCGAAATTTTATGTTTTCTACTATTACAGATTCGCATCAAATCCTAACCCGTGACCTTCCCGCCCCAATATGCTCCGTCCCCGACCCCATTGAACTGGAGGCTTTAAGGTTTCTTATTTTAATGCCACAGTCGAAATAGTGTATTTTTTTTTGCATTCAACGCACCTTAACCAACTGTGTATTCCTTAAAAAGCGCATAAATCTGTCATCGGATCAGACACCGTTCTATGGCCTCCATAACCGTGTATCGACGTTAGCTTGATTTATCTGAGAGTAAAACAAGTATTTCGCTGTTTCTCGACGGCACATGTGCTTTCCGAACTTCCCCATAATCGTTATGCTTTTAATGCTCGACGGTTTGTTTTATTTTTATCCTTTGCCGATCGTTAATCACTGTTGCGATTAGGCGGAGCGCACGTGAGCTGCTGTTAGTGTTTACTTTGTGATGCCGCAATCAATTCTCTGAGCTTCTTCTAAATCTGATTTTCGTTTTTTGTTATATCAGCACAGCTGCTAAGAAAAATAAAACAACTACATACTCGCTGTAGGACCACCGGCAATTTTGTTGAGAACTTCTCTTGACGGTTGCCCCGTGCTTGTGTGCCTATATTATTACCTATAAAGTTTGCGCCCATGATTGTTTACCTATTCAGAAAATCACAAAGTTCTAGTACGGACGACATGTGCCGTCGTCGCCGCACTAACTAGTAATGTTGTTCTGACTTGTCAACTTATGAACAATTTCGCCTAATTCAATTTTTGGAAACGTACGCCGAGTTAATATATCCAAAAAGTTTTTCTCGTGACAAGACCGTACTCGTTGGCAAATAACTTTGACCAATCTAACGATTTAACTTATCTGTCTATACGTTCTATAGTTTGTATGAATATCATTTTTAAAGTTTGTATAATAATTTATAATACTTTGTACGGTTGTATGTTTTTCAAGTGCACTCTAATTTCCTCTACGAGGAGGAACATACAAAATACATGTCGAAGAGACTTATAAGCAAAATTGTAATAGATTTTTGAGTACAAGTCTATATTTGGGCAATTAGTCTGCCTTGACCAACGGGAAACCATATTTAATAACAAAACAAGAACAATATGTTTCCTGTCCCGTGACACTCCAAATTATTATATAACCTTATTAAACTACATAAGAAAAAGGTGTTAATTGGTCAAATTTCTGGCTGAAGGCCAATATAAAGTATTAAAAATAAATCACCAATAATAATTACACCAAATTATTTATTTCGTTTTGAAAAATAATAATAAAAACTATTTTGAGCTTCATGAAATATACTGTATATTAATTAAAAATTATTTACTCTATATTATGTAATATGTTTTATATTCTATACAATTAATTTATTATAAAGCCTGTGGTTATTTTTTCGATAAAACATTTGTAACATTTTATTTTTTTAGAAACAAAATATCATGTAAAATAATATTTTATAAAAGCGAGCGGGTACGTGACAAACATTTTTATTGCTCGCATCTACAGCAGCAACATATACTCTAGAATATCTCCTCCCACAAGCATTATAATTAATATTACATCGATGATATGATATTATAAATTATAGTTGTTCGGTTCTGTTCCATGACTATACACTGCCACCACATGTTTTCAATTAATTCGATATTTTTTTAATACGAATAAATTCGGAAACAAGAACACGATATAGTCGAACATTGTTACACTGTAAAGTAAAAAAAAAATCAATAAAAACCCTTGAGCATTACAAAATAATATTTATTTGGAAAACTATCATGTTGCACATTTCAAAATATTTCATACTAAATTTCGCCACTTTAAGAGCCCTAAAAAATAATTGTGGTTTGCGAGATAAAAATGTAATGGAAGTAGACGGTTTTACAGTTTTTTTTTCTGCCAAATAATAATCATTATTCATTGGTCTCGCCGTAATCTCTTATGATTATTGACTAGTGACTGCTATATAGTTAGTGTCAGCAGCTCATCCGTTTTAAAGGATATTGTTGTAGTTTTTGACTTGCAACGATAATTATGTTATTGCTTCGTACACCGCGTTATTGACATTTAATTAAATACAACAAATTACTAATAATTTTGAGTAAAAAATCAATAATGAATAACTTTTTTAACACTATTTATAATTACTAAAATTACACTTATCAATATAATAAAACAACACAAATAATAATAATAAATAATTTACTGAGCCTTGAGGACTGATCAAGTTACTAACATGTAAAATATCAAATCAATATTGGCTTCACTATGTTTTAAACATGCAGTAGTCATTTTAAAAACATCGTAATTTTCTTTTTTAATCATATCCCCCTGTGTCAGCCCCTTGAAATGTAATTAAAAATCAAGGTTTTTTTTTTATAAGTATACTACACTTACTCTAGTGGCAGTACTTTCATTACCACGGTAGCCCATTTGACGTACGCACTATGTCGACAGCCTTACCTCACACGACCGGATTAATTTGAATGGAATATCTCGTGTTTGGCACCCTCTCTTTGGACATACAGCGTTGGCCTCTGTTGAAACTTCTTAAGCGCCCATTCGGAGTCTCTGGAATTAATAAATTAATTATTCCGTTCTTGCGACTTGATACCGGATGGTACTATTCGTTGGCTAGAAATGGTCAGTACCTTTACATATTATATGTATAATAATAATATATTTATATACACACATTGCAAGGACTACCGCCGGGTTCGGGTGCGTGCAGTGCGGGTCTACTCGGCGTCGGCAGCGAAGACCTCCTCGCTGTGTCTTTCTCTCTCTAGGTTTTTATCTTTCCTTTGGTCCGATCCTCTATCGCCGACACCACCGGCAGAGCACCCGCCGCAGCATCAGCATCGACGGGGGGGGTCCCCCGTCAGAAAAAATCATTCAGTCGCCTTTTGCCGCCACGAGTCAGTGACGACCCACCACTGGTGAGACACGGTTCGCGCGCCCGTGTGTGTCTCTAAAGACAATATAAGTATTATATATTTTTATCTATACACATAAGCATAAAGAACATAGAAACGTATATATGTGTTGACGGTCAGCGCATTATTTTATATTATCCTTTCCCAAATGGATATCCTCGGGCTAAACAAGTAAGTTTTTAATTTTTTTTTTTTTTTTAATTTATAAAATTCAATTTTAACGCAAATTATACAAATTTTTTTTGTATTTTACACACCGGTAGAAAATATTATGGTGTAATTAAAATCAAATAAAAAAAAAAATTGGTTGTTTTATTTATTATTAATTATGTACAACACATCTGCAAAAATTGAAAAATACTATTATTATGTTTTTGTGATCCGTTTAAAATTTTTGCCACAAATTGTTGGGTTTTAAGTTATTATTTTCAAATAAAACTAATCTGTAACAACCTAACCCTTTTAAGGGTAAAGAAAAAACGTAGTTTCACTGATTTTATTTGTTTTAAGTTTATATTTAGTTTTGTACTAAGCTGTCGATCGGTCTAAATGTGTTAATATGAATTAACATTTTGTAACTTATAATTATTATATTTTTTGAACAAATATGTATTTGTGACATTTTTAATTGGGATTTGTTTAAAACACGGCTAATGAGCTGTAAGTACTGGTTCTAGTTTGGTCATAAAGTGACACTGGCTATTTTTGCATATCTATATGTGCACAAAGAGTGTCTGTATTTGAATGTCTTCTACGTTTTATAAATACATTGTAATTATATTGGATTTAAAAAATCATAAATTGGGGTATTTTTTATAAACCGTAGATCTCACTACCTAATAAAATATTACTTCCGAAATTCAATTAACAGCATATATATTATAAAGCGATATAAAAAAAATTGGTTATTATGTTTAGTGGTAAATAAATAAATAATTAAATACATTTTGGGACGGATGGTGGAGACGTAGGAATACTAAATCAGATATAGGAATGTTTTCGCCTTCCTATCCCATTGTTCTGCTAATAAATATATATTACAAAATACCATTAAAAAAACGGTATTTAACGTGCAAAATAATTCCCAATACAAAGCGGAAAATATTAAAGTAAGTTTTTAGTCAAATACCATTAAGTATAAAGAAGAAGTAAAGCTTAAAAAAGGATAGTGTTAATTATATGTGAAAACCAAAGAATACATTTGAATATTATAATATTAAAATTAAACACAATTTTTTTTTTTTTTTTATCGAATATTAAATATAAATATATCGTAGGTATTAAATTAAAGTTATAAAATTTAACATTTCCCCTTTTACAAAATTTTAGCGAAGTTCTAAATTTTATCCTAAAGCCAAATTTACTATTGAAGAAAATGCAAACATAAATAGGCATTTGCTAAAGTAAGCATTGTATGTATACTGATGAATTATTTTAAAGCAAACAAAGGATTTAACATTTTATTTATCGTCTACTCCGTTTTATTGTATAAATTCAGAAATTGCTGATCAATTATATATTTATAAGTTATAACTAAAAACAGGATTTATTCGAGTTTCTGAATGATTTCCCCGTGGTAAAATATTTTATTAAAACATTACACACGTGCCCTCCTCTATAATTTTTCCCGTATGAGGTAAAGTATAAATTAAAAAAAAAGACCTAAATTATTAGAGTATTAAATTATTATTATGTAATATACTTCAATATCTACTAGGTCTTAAACTTCTTCGTTCAATTCTGTCTATGGTTACTCATTGAATTTAACAACATCGTATTATACATTTGAACCTGGCACGTGTGTGTTGTTAAGTTTGTACTTTTTTTTAAAGAATATTATTTTAGTCATATGATTATTGAATTGCAAAACTATATAGTTGCGCAATAGGAGACTTTAATGCATCGAAGTTGGTGTGTTTTTGGGAACTATTTTGCTTATTATTAGCGACTTATATTATCATTTCTCATATTTACATATAAAACATGATAGATATAAAACAAAAAAGGGCAAAACCAGTTTTATTATGACTTATAACCAAAGTCAGTAGTTGTGAATATTGAATGTTAAGACTTAATCGGTAGTTTTTGGTCATACTTTATTATGTGAATTTAAATTCTCAAGTATAACAGTTGACATTCGTCACAATTTTATTTTTGCTCAAATTATGTTTTATGCCTAGCGTCACACCAGTGCATGCACTGATATGTTTACTGTTTAAGAGAAGAGTTAAATTGCGTTCATATTGTTTGTATTAGATTTTCTACTAAAGCCAGCCAACTGTGTGTGTTTTTATTTTACTCAATATTTATTTCTCGGTGCATAATATGGAAAAGTAGTATTTTGTTATTTCTTGTTTAACGGTTTTCTACGAGATAACCTAATATCGCGTATATCTCTCCCCGATGACGTGTTTACGAGCAGGTATGGTACACGGTAAAGTGTATGCCTTATTTTATATCTTTTGTCTTCATACCTTACTATTCCTAGAAAGTGTAAAGTATAAACTTGCCGTTTGGCATTCGTCCGATCATCGAGTAGGTATAATACGAAACGTGCATTTTGCAAAAACGGTCAAAAAGTATTAAACGCTATTAAAAGGAGGAAACCGCTCTAAGGAATAAAATTGATTCATGTATATGTTTTTAACATTACGGATCTGTGTAACCACCACGGTTAAATGTTTCAACATGCGTATTATGATATTATTATACTGTATACATATTTTAGTTTAGTATAACATTTATTTCCATCGCAAAAAAAAATACAATACAATGCACGAGTAAATATAATTAAATTATTAATATTGTACTAACAATAATAACTAAGCCACTAAGCTACATTTCCGTAGACATAATTACGAGTAAGTATCTGATGATACTTACTCGTACTTACTCGTCATGATAGATTTCATGTATCTATTCTCAGTGCGTGCTCTTTCTAGGAATGACACTGTACACACTAAATTATAAATTGTCGGACGCAGGTCGCAGGTATTTAAACCAAATTGAAAACTCGTATTCTCCTATTGAATTCTTGAATTGTTTGAATTTACGGAGACGCGTTTGAAAATAAACGTTTAGGATGTATTATGGTATATTGTGTCTATAAAAAGTACAGCTACCCATTTATTTGAATTAATGCTGGTTGTGTTGTTTTATTTTATTTAAAACCTAACACTGCAGGAAACTATTTATGTATTTATATATATTTTTTGCAAACTCAATTTTTCTCTTATAATTTTACCTTTATTACAATAGATAATTGCGCATGCCATTGCGAATCCTCTGAACCGTGAACGCGGGTACGTGTACCTATAATACCTTTATATAAATATAAGTATAGCTATACACGCAGTAAAGTTTCTGTCACAATCAAGATCTGCATGTACTTCTCGTGCACATCCGCCGCTGCCTTTTTGTTTGAAAAACTAGTATATTTCCATAAGACAGTACATTTCATGTTGAGAATGATATTTTTAATAAAACACTATCTTACTAATGAATGATGCGTGTGTTCAAAATGTGTTGCTGTAAAGTTTACAAAGTAATATTCAAAACAGTATTCGGAATTTAGTTTTCATTATACTGCTTTTAGGTTTTCTTGAACATTATTTTTCCATATATAGTTTCATGAATTTTCGTTTACACATTATATATAATAAAAAAATTGATATTGCTGTATAAGCTTGGTTTTAAGCACCCAGATGTAATAGTAGCGTAAGATAAAATCTCAATAGGTCGAAAAAAAATATCAGTTTTTGTAATGAATATTAATTTTACAGCTAAACATTTTAAAATGCAAAAAGTCACTTGTATGCAATGAAAGGCTTATTAAATGTCAAATTCGTAATAAATATAGTATAACAGTGAGCAATTATTGTTTATTATTAATTTATCATTAGGTCGTAAGTTGTATGTATAATATATTATTATATTTTGACAACTAACAAAAAAAATTATAACTGTATTGCTTATTATTCTGATAAATAATTGCTTTTTGAAGTTAAATTTTAGCAAAGATGGTAAAAAAAACTCGGCAGATAGTTTTGTATAGACCTAGAAATTTATTGCTATTTAACTACCTAACAAATTTATTTTTATAGACTTCGTGTATACCCAAATTACTCGACTGGGTAGGATTTAAAAAAACCCATTAGGCCAACGCTGGTTTAACAATTGAAGACTGTAGTTGATATTAAAATTATTTAAAGGGTTAGAAATTCGTATCGATTCATTGGGCGTAGAACATACCTACTGGTGATTTTTTTCATAGGTATACAAAATTCTTCAGCGTTAACATCTTTATACTACATTTGGCTGAATAGGTACCTGCTAAAAAAATGTTAAGATAGCCCGCAGCCCCGGCTTGGGTATGGTGCATGTATACTACATTCTGCGGACACAATTTCAAACAATGCACGACGGTTTTGTACCACGTGTTGGCCGCGGGCATTATTAAAATATGTTTTTTTTTCTTAAGTTTTCTGTAGCCACCACATTGTAATCGTTTAATCGGTATTAATGGCCACAGTTTCACGATCATGATTTGGTTAAAATAATTTAATAAAGTTTTTTTATCTGACCATCGTTTATGACACCTCGCGGGCAACCTTTAACATAAATTTCCATCTGAAAGCGATTGTTTTGAATAATGTTAACGGCGATTTTGCACTCTATAATTATTAGTAATGATAATATTAAGCATGTCAGTCATTGTCCGTAGAAATTCTATCGTATTGCCGTTTGGCCCGAGTTCGAACCACGAGTCATAATTTATTATCTATTTATTATACACAAATCATTGTGGAAACAAGTGACACCAATCCGGTACAGTATCGGTTCTAAAAAACTGCTGGCCCCACAGTGGAAACACAGAACCCCAACGACCATCATCAATAATAATGATAATTACCTATAATCAGCTATGGTTAACAGTTGAACTTTTATAAGTAATACGTTTAACGTCCCAAATCGTGCATTTGTTTTGTATTAAATAATGAAAATGAATTTATTTTATTTGTTATGTCCTTTAAATTCAATGTTTCTTACTGTAATGTGTATCCCTACGCCATATTTTACTTTGAGCCGACAAAAAGTTACCAGCTATTTTTTTTTTTAAGTACCCTTGGGCCTTGGCTAAGACTTGTTTGATAAAAATCAAACTGGTTTTG